GTAAGGTAAGGGGCTTTCATTCCTCTGCATGTGGAAATCCAGTTTTCTCAAAACCATTTGTTGATGAGGCTGTCCTCTCCCCATGTGTATTCCTGGTAGCCTTATAGAAGATGAGTTGACGATGTATGTGTGGGTTTAACTATGGGCTGTTCTGTCCCATTGGTCTATATGTCTGTCTTTATCCTGGTACCATACTGTTTTGATTACGGTAGTTTTTTGAAACCAGAAAGAGTGATGCCTCCAGCTTTGTTCTTTTTAAAGATTGTTTTGGCTATTCAGGGACCTTTGTGGTTCCATATAAATTTAAGGTTCGTTTTTTTCTATTTCTGTGAAAAATGTCAGTGGGATTTTGATAGGGATTGCATTGAATCTGTAGACCACTTTTCATTATGGACATTCTAACAATATCAAGTCTTTCATTCCACAAACAAGTGATGTCTATTTATTTGTGTCTTCTTTAATTTCTTTCATTAATGCTTTGTAATTTTCAGTCTACAAGCTTTTCACCTCCTTAGTTAAGTTTATTCCTAGAGTGAAAAGGCAACTCACAGGCCGGCCCTGTGGCTCACTCGGGAGAGTGCAGCGCTGGGAGCGCCAAGGCCGTGGGTTCGGATCCTATATTGGGATGGCCAATGCACTCACTGGCTGAGCGTGGTACGGACCACACCGTACTGAGGGTTGTGGTTTCTTACCGGTCAGAAAAAAAAAAAAGAAAGAAAGAAAGAAAGAAAGAAAGAAAGAAAGAAAGAAAGAAAGAAAGAAAAGGAAACCCACACAAGGGGAGAAAATATTTGCTAACTATATATCTGAAAAAGGGTTGACATCCAAAATATATTAGAAACTACTACAACTCAATAGCAAGAAAACCCAAATAACCTGATTTTAAAAATTGGTAAAGGACTTGAATAGACATTTCTGCAAAGAAGACATGAAAATGGCCAACAGAAATATGAAAAGATGCTCAACATCACTAACCATCAGGGAAAGGCAGATAGAAATCACAATGAGCTATTATTACCTCACACCTGTTAGGATGGCCATTATAAAAAAGATAAATGCTGGAGAGAAAGTGGAGAGACTGAAACATGAGTGCTTGCTCGTGTGTGCATGAATCCCTCCTGAAGGCACCTTTACCCACTGGCCTGGAGATCTTGGACCAGGAAAGATCTGGAAGGAGTCCTTCTTGGACTGGCAGAGGAACTGAGGGTCACTCGAGTCTTAGGATGTTTGGAAGTTGCAAAGCAGGCACCTGTTGTTTTGCCTGTGTGGTTTCTGGAAGGAAACAGGTTCCCCTGGCTTTCCTAAGCCTGGATTGAGGGAGTGAGGTTGGTGAGTCTCACTCTCCAAGTTCAAAGCAGAGACTGACGCCCCACCAGTTTCTACTTTCTCTCTCCCTAGGTCAGAAACTAGACCATGTGCTTTGTAAGCTTCACTGTGTCTCCACATGTTCTGGAGGGGGTCAGTAATTTTAAAAAGGCCTTTAAAAAGGTGTTTGCTTGCAGGGAGTTGGGGTGAGCACCTGCAAATCATAACTAGATTTTTCAGTAAGAATTTAAAACTGTAAAGCACCATGCTAGATTGCTGTAAAAAATGAACAAGGTGATCTACATAAAGAACGGGGGACAGTGCTGTATATCGCGTGTGCACTCAAGAGATAGCTGCTGTTGCTGCCATCACCAAGAAAGCCAGGCCGAAGTTCCAAGTTCCGGGACAAAGAAAGGAGAAGCGCTAAATGAAGTGCTTGGCCCCTGACCCTTAACTCAGGGAGCCTCACTTTTGTCATCTGTAACACGAGATTGACAATACCTTCTCAGCTCCCTCTTCAGTGGACATTTCGACAGCTGGTCAGATTTCTTAGGCAATGTAATCTGGAACATGCAACAGGGAAGAATTGTTTTGTACGTTGATAAGATACATATACAACTGAGAAACGAAAAGACGTTTGCATTGAAAATGGATAAAGGTCTAACCTGGATGTTAGATACTCGTTGCTTCTCTTCCTATATAAATGGCAGAGAACTCTGTAAAGAATATTATTGCTTTTTAACAGGCCCTGGTACTATTACTGCTGTGCTCTCCATTAGACATGAGGAAGAGAATCCCTTCCAAAAGCCGTGTAAAGGACTTCTAAGGCAAACCAGCCCTCTGTTCCGCTGAGACACCTCTTACCTCCAGGTAGAGCAAGGCAGCAGTGTTGGAAGAGAGGAACCTCTCGCTGCTGTCCTGCCTCGTGGGCTGCCGGCTGACCTTACCCGCTGCACCGCCTGCTTCTCGTGCAGCACAGCACGCTCTCCTCTGCTTCAGGACCACAGGAGGCTGTAGGCTCTCTCAAGGGACTTTCTCAAGAGCGCCACTTAGGATATGAGTTAAGGATACTATGAGGCTAATTAACTATTTTCTTTCATATAAGTAATGCTGTAATGTAGATATTAAATAGCTTTATTTCCCAAATAAGCTGGAGGATAAAACTTAATGTGTAATAGATATCTCAGTTTTTGAGTCAATGTAAACTGACCCGAGGGCAGATATCTTACCCTGGTCCTGGCCTGTGAGAAGCTGGCCTGTTTCATTTAGGAGATAGGAAGACATTGTGCACGCAGACCCTCTTAGTGGACAGTGACCCTCACTTGCTTACTCTAACCTTGGTCTTCGGAAGGCCTTAGCCTATCTGACATTGTCTTTTACGTCGCCTCATCAGCTGCAGCAAAGGCACCAGGCTTCAAATGCCTAAAGTCCTTGGAAAATACAATTTCCAGCCTTCTGCAGGATCCTCCTCCACCTTTAATCCCACTTGAGAGGAATAGACTTAGAAATAAAAAGGCTGGGGCCGCTCCTTCAAGGCTGGCAGAAGAGCTCGCTGCTCCTCCGGCGCAGGAGGACACAGGCCGAGCTGGTGTACGGGCTAGACCTCGCTGGCCTGCCGCAAGGAGCCTCACAAGCTGCCCGCTCTGACTTCCAGAGTCATCCAGTGAAGAGGGGTGTCTCACGGGACGTAGGGCTGCGGGCTGGACGTACAGCAGATGTCAGAAACAAAGGGACCGAAGTGAATCCACGGACACCGCGGCCTCGTTCTTAAAACAGGAGGCTACTAGTCAGACCCTGCAACCTGCCATCAAATGCAGCAGCACACTGGGCTAAAAATCATGTGGTCCAGCATCACACCTCTGGTGGCATGCCACTTGATTGAGTGAGACTGCATCAAGTGTAATGTGTCAGTGTGATCACATCTCAGCCAGTGGAGAAGGTGGAGGACATGCTTCCCTTTTTTTCTCAAGATAGTGTTACTTCTACCTACTGAAATGCAGGTGACATGGCATCGTGAGCAAATAGGGGCCCGATTTCAGAGATCGTTTACCCTGCAAGCCAAGAACACTCTCGGATTATCATAGGAATTTGAAGAATAGGACATGTGATTCTCTTACTGGCAAAGAAAGAATGCATATGCATTTCTCACAAATCTAGAAATCAGTGGAAACATCCAAACTGCCTTCATTTGTTCTTGACACAGATGTTTCCTTATACTCAAGGACACTCAGAGGTCAGAGAAGTCTGCACGGGGCAGGAAAGTTCCCACCCACTGGCTCCATCCCCACCCACGCCCCCTCCAGGAGCCCCGCCCCAGGCTCTTCAGCATTTCCCTTCGAGGACAGTGTCCTGCAACGCCTCAGAAGACACTGTTGGCTCCTGCAGTCCACCGAGAATCAGTGGAGTAGAGAATGGCTCTTTCATTATCATTGAAGTTTTTCCTTCAATCAGACACCACTAGTCTTACATTCAAGTCATTCCGGTGTATGTGAGGGCCTGCTGAGGCTGTGCTGGGCTTCCAGCCCCTCTAATGGTGCCCTGCGTGTTGGCACTGCCAAAGGCCTAGTGGCCGCCACACACTGACCACTGTGGTGATTGCCATGATGATGTCACCTGGAAGTCACAGACGCTGAGCCCATTGTGCGCTGCTTTTCTGTCTCCAACACACAGTGAACTTGTCCTGTCTGAGTAAACTGACCTTTTGTTCTGCACTAGGTAGAGTTGGGACTCTAGGAATTTCCTTTTTGAACCCAGGGTCGCCTTGGACTTTGCAGTTTGAAGCCTAGATCACACCCAAATTCTACCATTGCCCAAAGAATAACTTTCTGACCTTGACTGTCATTAGCCTGCTACCCATGAAGATGAAGCCAGTCTGGCAGGCCAGTGAGGTCTGGAAAAGCCTTCCTTTATTTTTTCATGACTTTCTCCAAACCCAGTATTTACAAGTAGTGTAAATACTGCTAACTAGGAAGAGACCTGCCAGCGCCTGAGTGAGTATTATGGAGTATTTTAAGCCTGTTAAAGAATATTCTAGGGTCAGGCATACCTTCCTCAGAGATAGCATCTTGGTCTTGAGTTAAAATGTCTGACTCTTAAATCTGAATGACTCTTAGAGACTGATTGTTGTTCATTCAAGGTGATGAGAAATCACGTAACATGTCCTGCATCGTGGGGCACGTGGGATTTGCTTTTAGAGATCCTTTTTGTGTTAACACGACATAACCAAGATAAGATGTAATGTATACGGGTGATATAGCAACAGCAATAAATCTAAGCGTGTCAGTGATTTGTGAGTAAATTATATTGGTCCTTCTTTGTAATGATTTATATTGTATCAGAAAGTGATGGCCACATGAATTTCATGTCATTCCTAAGACATATGTACACATACACACATTGTGTACATGGTAACACTTATATGTTTGGTGTATGTTCATATGTGTGTATATGCATGCTGTGTAGCCTACTATTAAAAACTATCAATAGCTAAGTCTGTGTGAGCAGTTGTGAGTTGAGCAGCTATAAACCTATCGCTTTTATGGTAAATCACCGAGGTATTCTTTAGCAATGAATACAGTTTTTCACATGATTCTATGATGTCCTATAAAGATGGTATCGGTATTAAGTAGATTCACAGATAAAATGTATTTTGTGAGAGCATTTTCAATATCTTTGTTCATTAAACTTGGCAGACATTAAGTTAGTATTTTTATTTTGAATAAACCCCCTCAGTAGGCACCGCAACTTAAAATAGAATCTAAATATAAAGCACTTTGGTAGTCCGTGCCATCGTTATAACTTAATACCACACCGAATGCTACAGCATTCCATAAACTTACTTCTTAAATACAAGATGACTCTTAACCTGGACCACGGCTTCCATGTTCGCTTCCAGGCACACCCGGGCTTTTAGCTGCTCACAGCCTCCCTCGGCCGGTCTCTATCAGTGGTGACACTTGTGTTTAGTTGGTGCCGTTCACAACACCCAAACAATGGGCAGGTGAACTCAGGCACCTTCTGAAGTCTCTGTGAGGAAGCATCCACCTCTGTATAAGGTGACCCTGAAACTCACTATAGGGACAGAGTCAAGTCAATGGTAGGACAGAAACCGAGTCAAGCTGGCAGGTCCAATGCAATAAGATGACCACACAAAGCCTGGGCCGCATACCTCGTCAGGGTCTAAGAAAGCAAGCAGCCAGCATGGACGATTCCCACTGCGCCCCGTGACCAGCCAGCTACGGCAGCACCGAAGCCCTCCCCACGTGTTCACCTGCAAAGGCAGCAGAGATGCCAGAGCTCAGCTCTCTGCCCCTGCCCAGGCAGTGCGAGCCAGGACTAGCGTCCCCTGCGAAGAGGAGGCTGTGCGATGGATGGGCACGTTCCCTATCATTCCTGTGGCACTTAACCCACTGCAGCACCCGCGTGTCACTGCTCCCGTGGCCGCGGCAAGACTGCTTCTGCTTTCCCCGAGGATCCCTTTGTCTGCTGAGAGGGGAAGGAAGCAGCAGTGTTCTGCAGCCACCTCTTCTCTCAGCAAGTTACAACAACTGATATAAAAATCGTTTAAATTACTTTGAAACTTTAATTACAGACACTGTTCCACTCACCATTTCTGAAATGAAAGCTTTGTTTCTCTCCTTTTTTGCATAAAGGCTGTAGCGGTGGTTTAGCTAAACCTTGCGCGTCTTTTCCTAGGACATACCTACACCCGCGTCTCCTAACCTAACAAAAGGTGTCTAGATCGCAGTCCCAAACCAACCCTGCACTGGATTCCAGCACATAAAACTCGGAGAGTGAAACCATTCCAAAGGAGAACAGGAAGCAACCACAGTCAAACGGCAGGAAGAGTTGAAGCCCGATATTCGTTTCTCCTAAGTTCAACTCAGAAATATAAGAACAATTAACAGAAAAGGTGTAAGAGGGCCCAGCTCTCAGCCCTGCTCCCGCTACCAAGCACGCTCTCCCGAAACTCCCTGCCGTCTTAAAGTGCAATTACTGTTGTGGAGTCACTCAGGCCAGGGATCAGGCGGGACAGAGTTCAAAGCAGAAATCTCAAATGCACCGTTCATGACTCAGGGGCTGGGGCAGGGAGGGGAGAACAGGACATTCAAGTGCATCAAGAGACTAAATGTCCTTTCTTTTTGTAGAGAAAATCTGTAAATTGTAAGGAATCCTGGTCTGGAAAAATGGAGCTTTCTAAAAGTGTCTATCTGAGGAGGTTCCAGTGGGGTAAGGTCAACAGGCTGGTGAGTGTGGCGAGAAGCAGGGGACAGGCACTCCTCCCAGGCGCCCGGCCCGGCAGGTGGCCCCGACCGTCCTCCATCAAGTCCTCGGCTCGGGGCAAGGACGACGCACACTGGACCAGGGGCATCTGGTAAGATGTGGCTCTCTTCTCGGGCCTGTCTGGACTAGACCCATCACTGGGCCTCTGGCCGTTGAAGAGCAGATAGCGGCCCCGGGCATCCTGCTCCATTTTGAAGATCTCATACTCCGTGTGAGGTAGTTTGATCCCCAGGGCCACGCAGCCATTGGTGTGCGTCACGTCCTGCTGGATGCCCACCTGCCAGGAGCCCTCGGCCCCACACTCATTCCCGTTGAAGACATTGAGGAGCGAGGCTGTGGCTGCATCCATGGGGGTCACCTTCATGTGATTCACTGAGGAGGAGAGAGAAGAGCCCATAACTCAAGAGAGGAGCTACGGGGGGCAGAAACCCACCCTGCCAGCGTGGCAGTGCCCCATCATGACAAAGCTTTCTTTTCGAAAGACAGTCCTACCAACCCACCCGTCTGACTTCAGTAGCCAGAAAAGCATCCTCAGGCGGGAAGAGTAAAACGTGTGGATGTGAGTGGAATCACGCCAACGTACTGCAGGTGTGGCCAGAAAACACAACCCACGTGTGGTGTGTAAATGCGGAGCCGCGCTGCAGCGGGCCGTGCCTTGCAGTGTGAAATGAAACCAGAGCACAGTGTTCCCAAGGAGTTGGATTTGGTATTGCCGACTCTTTGGGATTGAAAATATATTCAACAAAATCTGGAATTTTGTCTTCATGAAAAGGTTTTGAGGTTTTTAAAAGTTGTGGTGTTAAATACTTACACTAGTTAGTATTCTCACAAATTAATACAGGACCATAAATTGGATATCTAAGATAAACTAGGCAGTAAGCGAGAAACGTATGGGTAATTAAATAAAACTCCAAGCACTTGTGGAGTATTGCTTTTGAAGGTCCTCCCAGGGGACCATGTTCTGTGTATAACGTGATGAGCTTGGGTGGAATCAGATACAGCTCACTCTCTCTCAGTCAAGTTTATCAAAAGTCCAGTGTTCCTGGAGCAAACCTCCCTTCCTAAAAGGAGGGCTAAGATGCTCCAGGATTTACTTGAGGTAACAGAAATATTCTATATTAATCTGACTGCACCAGGGAATGCTATCCTGGAAGAAGTCACACCAGGATTTAGGCCATCCCTCTTTATTTGGTCATAACAGGGCTGACACTTTTACAAAGTTGTTCAAACTTAAATTCTCAAAATAACAACCACAAGACCTCCCGCTGGTAACAGCCTGGTGCAGCCCATCCCTCACCCCCTCATTTAGGTGATCAGTATGTTGCCTGAACCTTCCCAAAGATGCTCCCACCTTCAGGAGTGTGACAGTTCTCAAGTGCAGGGCAAGCGCGGGGTTGGAGGTGGCACCTCCAAGCCCCTGCGGTGTCTCTAACACTCCTCTCTACTGTCCACTAGGAAGCACACTGGCTGCCAGAAAGTGTGGTGGTGTCAGGGGGCAGCAAGGGATCCACATGAGTTGTGTACATAAAGGAAACACACAGACTTGAGAATCCACTTGCAGTAACATCATCCTTGGGCCACACCCGACACATACCCTCACGCAGCAGCATGGACCCCGCCAGCATCTGGGTCTGTAGGCCAAGGCCACCCACCCAGCCTGTACCGAGCAGAGAGGTGCTCAGGGGGCATTAGGAAGGACTGGCTTGGGGCCAAAACTACTCTGATTTCTTCCCCAGCATCTCAAGCAGAAAAGTGGCCCTTTCTCTCAGGCTCTGCCCCAGTAGGTGTCACAGAACCGCTCCCTGGCCATTCTGTTGGGATTCAAGGTGAGACCCGTACCTTTGAACACGAACTCTGTGCCCCCCATGACCCTGGAGGAGAGCATGCCACGGCTGTAGCGGCCCCGGGCATAGATGGTGAAGGTGGGGTGCTTGCAGACAGGGTCGGAGTAGTGGTAGTAATGCCCCTCCCAGGTGTTGTTGTTGTCGTGGAAGATGAAGTGGCGGGTGAGGAAGAGGACCTCGGGGCGCACCTCGCAGCGCTGGCTCACCCACTCCCCGTGCAGGCCGATGGTCAGGTCAGCCTTTGGGGGCAAGATGGGTGGGCGGTGCTCGTCTGACCGGTAGATGATCCGACAGGCTATGCAGGCATGGTCGTGGTTCTGAAGCCAAGAAACAAACACACTTAGAGACCTCTGTCTTCCCAAGAGCACCATCTGTCTCCACATGCTTCCTCACAAATGAGTCTCAGCACAGCTGGGACAGAGCAAGGTGACAGGTCACTGTCATTTATGACCTGAACACCCAAGAGGCAACTGGAGCCATGCTCTGGTGCACAGATAGTGAGTGGTGTGCATGTGTGTCTGAACTCACAAGCACACATGTGTTTGCCTCACAGTGTAGACCTGCCTAAATATTTCAGCTGTGATATGGCCTCTCTTCAGAATCCTGTTAAGTTTTTGCACTACGTGTACCGAACGCCTGGTTTCAAAATGAAAGAATAAAATGGCAACACCTCACACCTGTTAGGATGGCTATTATCAAAAAAGCAGAAAATAACAAGTTGGTGAGGATGTGGAAAAACTGGAACCCTTGTGCCCTGCCAGTGGGAATGGGAAATGGTGCAGCCACTGTGGAAGACAGTGTGGCAGTTCCTCACAAAAGTAAACAGAGTTACCATATGATCCAGCTATTCCACTTCTAGCCATACACCCGAAAGAACTGAAGACAGGAACTTGCTGCCTGTTAACAAAGACACGAGGCTGTGCAGGAGCCGGCCCCTGGCCAGAAGCCACGGTCAGCCCCATCCTGAGCGCCAAGTGAGAACCTGGCGGAACTGTGGTCACTTCGGGCAAATGATGGCCCTGAGCTGAAGTATTTCTCTGTTCAGTAGCAGAGAAAAGCAGGCCATGCAGTTTGGGGCAGGAAGGCTTGTTTTCCACCAGTTGGGCCTGTGAGAATTTAGGGTGGAAAGCAGCACGTGGGAGGAACCTAGCTCTTAGGTGTTAGTCTTACCAAATTCCTAAACAAATTAGTTTTGTTTTATTGCATTAAAAAATACATAAGTTAAAAATCTACCATCTTAACCATGTTTAAGTGCACAGTCCAGTGGCATTAAGTACACTCACACTGTTGAGTTACCATCACCACCAGCCTTCTCCAGAACTCTTCACCTTCCCAAACCGAAACTCCACACCTGTTAAACACTAACCCACTTTCCCACCCAACCCCCAACACCACCATCCTACTTTCTATGTATTTGACTACTCTAGGTGTCTCATGTAGCGGGATCATACAGTGTTTCTTTTCGTGACTGGCTTATTTCTCTTAGCACGTCTTCAAGGTTCACCAGTGTTACAGCCTGTGTCAGAATGCCCTTCCTTCTTAAGGCTGAATAATATTCCATTGTACTTACATAACACATTTTGTTTACCCACTTATCTATCAATAGACACTAAAGTTCCACTTTTGGGGACTGTGAATAATACTGCTATCAACACGGGTGTGCAAATATCTGTTTGAGTCCCTGCTTTCAGTTCTTTTTTATTTTGTGACTGGTAAGGGGATTGTAACCCTTGGCTTGGTGTCGTCCGCACCACACTCAGCCAGTGAGCGCACCGGCCATTCCCATATAGGATCCGAACCCGCGGCCTCGGCGCTCCCAGCACCACACTCTCCCGAGTGAGCCACGCGGGCAGCCCCCTGCTTTCAGTTCTTTTGGCTATACACCCAGAAGTGGAATAGCGGGATCACATGGTGATTATGCTTAATTTTTTTGAGGAACTGCCACAATATTTTCTACAGTAGCTGCGCCATCTACACTCCCACCAGCACACACAAGGGTTTCCATGTCTCCACACCCTCAGACACTTGGTTCTGTTTTTGTTCTTTATGATTGCCATCCTGATGTGTGGCCTGGTGTCCTGCTGTGGTTTTGATTTGCATTTCCCTAATGATTAGTGATGCTGAGCACCTTTTCATGTGCTTCTTGGCCATTCCTATATTTTCTTCAGAGAAATGGCTGTTCAAGCCCTTTGCCCACTTTTTAATTGGGTTTTTTCAGTTGTTGAGTTGACTAGTTACTTTTTAAAATAACTCTTTTGCTGCCATTAAGAAACCAAAGATGTCATAGATAAGGGTAGTCTTTTGGCCTCTTTGTGGATACTGTTAAGGGGACAGTTTTAGCCATGGTTGAATAAAGAGACATCTCTGTTTTGTAGAGAGCTTAAAAAAACTCATTTGTGCTCCCAATTCTCACAATCTTTGGCTTGAATAAAAAAGAGACATAAAAGAACAGCTATGGGGAGCAGAAATTAAAGCCTGTATATTGTATTGACTCTAAAGTTTCAATTTTCTTTTTTTCCTTTTTTTTTTTTTTGATCACAACCCTCGGTGTCGCGCCCGCACCTCACTCAGCCAGTGAGCGGGAACCGGTCTGCATGTGGGATCCAAACCCTCGGCGGGAGCGCTGCCTCGCTCCCAAGCGGCGCACTGTAGCAGTGCGCCACCGGGCCGGCCCTAAAGTTTCAATTTTCTAAGGTGCTTTTCTTAAATAGCATGCTTCCAAGATTAATAACTGGAAAGAGGATTACACATGGAGATTCTAAATATGAAGAGTATTTTGTACTATGGGATATCATTTGCTTTGTAAAATTATCATTATTTTTTTTCTTTTTGGATGCTTGTTCTGATACATGATTCTCATTTGAGAAGTGTCCTTCCACGCTCACCAACTTGGCTTCCACAGCGCTCCCTGTCCCTGAATCTTAGAGGGCTATTTAAAGTCATCAGAGTCTCTGTGCGCAGAAGATTCGAAGGTTAACGCAGAGGGACCAGAAAGTGCTTCCTTGTTGCTATTCTTTATACTCACTATAAAAAGCTCTGACTCAGAAGAGGAAGAGGAGAAAAAAGATCCCTATACAATACATGTCTGAAAAGGAAGAAAAATAAACCTTATGCTTTATAAGTGAGCAATGTTCTGGGCAAAGAGTGTGGTTTTGCCTACTCTTCTCTCTGATTCCTGCCCAGCTCCCTGGTAACAAGTTAGATAACTGCAGCTCATGTTTACAGGACATATGATTCAGAGGAGGTTCAAGTATATCATCTCCTTAAGCCTTCCAACCTCCCAAAGAGACCACAGGAGCACTGTGCAGATGAGGCAACCAAGGCTCAGAGAGAGAAAATAACCTGGCTCAGATGACTTTCCAAACCCAAAGTAGAATCAAGACCGTAATGTGGTCTTGGGGATTGCAGAGAGCAATCTCCTGGCCCCACACTCCCTCTCAGACTGAGGTCCTGCAAAGAGCAGATGTCTCCAGTCCTCGCAAAAGGTCTTCTCCAGCTGATGACTGATGGGGACTCTCCAGGCTTTCTCCCATTCCCTGCCAATATTTATTTCTGGAGAGTTGGTTTGTCAACAGCATTTGCTGACAGTATCCACTTGTTTTCACCGTCTTCCCAAAATGGAAGAAATTACTTGACATGATCTTGTTGTGAATAGATCAGAGAAGCAGGCTGGATAAAACAGAAGTCTACAAAAGCAGCATTACTTGGGCTAAAGTTTTGTTCAAGGAGGAGGAAAAATGGGAGTAGATTATGGAAACTTTCTTTCCTAAGGTTTTGTTCCATGGGATAAAAAACACATTAATGTTTCTCAGAAGGAAAGTTGCTGTGGCCAATGGCCCATGTCAAAAGCTTTTTTAACTGCAATTTGCCATGTGTTTGATTAAATTTCTGCTGTAAAAAATCCTGCATGTTTGTCCTTCTTGGGTCTTCTCCATTGCATTATAAGTTTTTAAAGGACAAGACCAAAGTGTTCTTTCTTTTTCCTATTCCCCTGACACCCAGGAGAGTGCTGCACATGCCGTGGACAGGACGGAGGCTCCTGACAGGCTGACTGATGGAAAGCTGTCACCGGATACACAGAGATGAACAGAGAGGGAGCATTCAGCACAAATGACAAGAGCCGGCTGCCTTGCAGGACGCAGCTCCTGGGGTGCTTTCCAGGTCTGGGGTTCCAGAAGCTTGTGAACTCAGGCCCACTTTGATCACTAGCGGGGTCATGGCGATTCTACCTTCAGAAGGAAGCCGGGTGAATAGCTGTGTCCATGTGTGTTATGTCCCTTTAACTGCAGTTCTAGGTGCACATGGCTGTCTACTCTGCTGCAGTGCAATGGACTGAATGTCATGTCCCCCCCAAATTCACATATTGAAGTCCAAACCCCCAATGTGAAGGTATTGGGAGGTGGTGCCTTTGGGAGGTGACTAGGTCATGAGGCTGGAGCCTTCATGAATGGGACTGGTGCCCTTATAAGAAAAGGCCAGAGAGTGCCCTGACCTCTTCCCACCACGTGAAGACACAATGAGAAGTGGGCAGCCTGCACCCTGGAAGAGGGCCCTGAGCAGACCCCACCCTGCAGGCTCCTGATCTCAGACTTCCACCTTCTGCAACTGAGGAATATGAGTCTTTTGTTTACCAGCCACCTGGTCTATGGTGCATTGTTAGAGCAGGAGAACAGACCAAGAAAACCGCAGCCCAGCATGTGCTCCAGGAGATGCCACATGCACAGCAGTGCACTGACTGAGTGCAGCCTGATCCCCTGCCAGGAGGCAGGCACACGCTCCAGGGCACGAAGGACTCAGAGAGCCTCACGGACACTGTGTGGCAACCCCCAGCCTGGTCCAGTCATCCAGGAAGGAGCCCTGGCCTGGAAGATGAGGGAGAAGGCGAGAACGGTGGGCTGCTGATCCTGGGCTTCAAGCTGGCTACTGAATGCTGACGGGGCCGAACATCAGCCGAACACTCTTCTGTGTCCTGGAGTTAAGAGGGGGCACTTGACAGTCCTCAGGAGCAACAGACATTATACTTCCAGAAGTGGGTTTCTAAGAAGTTTAGAATGTAAGAAGTAAGCTCACAAAGGCCTTTCCTGTTTAAGGAACGTCAGTAATCACGCAAGGGATCATGTCCCCTCCACCCCACCTCTACACACACACCACAGACAGACAGAATAGCTTCATACGAAGGACCAGAGGAAGCTGGTTCTTTAGGAAAAATGACTTTAAGAATGGATTCCGAAGAAAATTGTTGTTTATTTTACTTGTTTGAATTCATTTGAATAATTAAAGTAAACTAATTTTAATAATTAAATTAAATCTACTGTAA